GTAACAACTTTTGTTATTACTCATTACAATATCAACCCAATACAAAAATATAAATACAAAACAAAAGAATAATCAAATATCAAAATAAAAGACACAGTCATTAAAAGCTCAAAAAAAATAAAAAAATTAACATTAAAATAAATATATAAAATCGGTTGCGAACAAATCAAGTCAACAGCAATATAATAACACAAAGTCAACAGCACACCACAACACTAAGCTTCATCTCTCAACAATCCCAGAACAGCTTTTTTGAATTTTGGCAATCTATCACTAAACATATCAACCCTCTCACAGACAGAGTTATAGGCTCTAGAAAGACGAGATATGGTGGAGAACCTCTTTAGGTTGGTTCTGGCAGATAGCTGGTGCAGCAAACCCGCGTTAATTAGTGCGCGCCTAGGCACACGTCGAGGTACACGCAAATTGAATAAGCTTAATAGTGGCGGACAGTCAAACTCGCTCCTTAGTACCTTGTACATGAACGTTATGTCATGCAGTTTTCTACGAACACTCAAGCGGTCCATCCTAAAATGTCTTAGTCTTTCGCTATACGATACCAAGCGTTTGTGCAGCCCACTGGCAAATGTTAGGTGTCCTAGGAAACGTCTCTGTATGCGTTCAACTCTAACTTGATGCACATTATACTGAGGCGACCAAACCACCGAGCAATATTCCAGTTGACTTCGCACATAGCTGTTATATAAAGTAATTTTAGTGGTTGGGCTGCGAAATAGTTTGCTGTTACGTATAATAAATCCCAGTATTTTTGACGATTTATTAATAATACTGTCAATGTGGGGCAAGAACGTCAACTTCGAATCGAAGATCACGCCCAAGTCCCTCATCTCAGCTTTCCGCTGCAATGTAGTTCCATCGACGAGGTATTGACAGATGAGGCTTTCTTCCTGCCAAAACGTAGATTTTAACCCTCTGTCATGAAGATCAAACCTATTGCTATGAAGCAGGTGTAATTTCAAACATCGATTAATAAACTCAGAACATTAAAGATTATATTAGATATTAGACCAGAACAAAAATTAGAAACATCTACACTGAAACCAATTACAATTCTAGTATCGATTACATAACGCGTAATCATAACCAATTAGGTATAACTATCTGGCAACACAGGTTTTAAGGGAAGCGTGGCTACCGAACACTAATTCATAGCACCTGTATTACATATGTAAAACTGAAATATGTATAAATCATGACACCGTTATGTACTAAGGAAAGGCTGTTGAAAGACCAACGAAGCTTAAACATTTAATAAACCATATAATTATGATATTAATTCGAATTAATGTTGCCTACTTACTTTTGGTCATTAAAGTGTCGAACACAGAAACACCGTGTTCCGTTTTTGACGTCAAAAACAAATGAACGGTTAAAATCAGTTTGAATGGCAATTACGGTGTATTAACAGTAAGTTACGCGATTATTTTATCGGATCTAATGTTCTAATGATGTGTTATTTGCGTGTTAGTGGTAACATTGTTTTAAGTAGCGTTTATAGTATTAATTGCTTTATCTACCTTAACTTTTGTGTATGTTTATCTTTCAAAGAGGTCTCATAGATCGATACATTAATACAATTAAAATCTCACATACCAGAAGACAAAAATATTTTGAACTCTCCGTCGCTCAGCCTTATTCCTTTATTTAATACTAATTCATAAATTAAAATATTGGACATGATTATACTATTCTCATATATTGTTTGTTTACACAAGGTTTTAACTCTAAGAGTCAGATTCTATTTATGATAAAAATTATAGACTATACTAAATGTATATTAATATGCTACGATATAAATAAACAATTGCATAAAATTGAGCGGAAGTGTAAATAAATCATGTTGATAATCACGTTGATCAGTAAGTTGTTATGCATCAATCATAAACAATAATAAACAACGCCACTAATGAAGAGTAGCATAACATTGAAAGCAAAAAGGAGCATACATTGTATCAAATAAAAATAAATAAGAAATGAGGAAGCTAGTAAAACTATACGCGAGGTTGATATGCAATAAGTAAACTAAATAATTATTGACACCTTTCAAAATATAATAATATGAGTCAACTTTTTGTCACTGCTTCTATGTATCAGCCTAATATTTACGTACTTTTAGTCGTACCAGTCGTTTCAGCTCGCTATAACCTGGACAATATCTGCAGTGGCCTCTAAAATTAAGTCCCCAAACTAAGAGCTATGCTTCGTATTACTATTATTTTAGTTACCACAGTTATTCAGATTACCAGTTAAGCATCATAACATATACTTCGAGAAGTAATTGCTCACAGTTATAAAAATATATTCTATACAGAAGTGACTTTCGCATAATCAAATAATAAATTATACAATGAGAATTGACATTATCAATAAATATGCTTGATTCTGTCAAATACATTAATAAACTTTACTGCAAATGTATGCGAAAAATTCCATTGTCGTTCAATTAATTAATCCATATTAAAATATGTATATCATACATGAATTATCTGTTTGGAGCAATAACAAAGAATAAATTTACATTGAATTTTAATCCGATGATAAAGACTCAGATTTTTTTATTCAATATCTACTCTTAATATAATAAACCTACGTGACATTTTTTGTTGAATATTTTAAACAGTTTTATCCCTAGCTAATCTAGTATGTTAAGTTTTGATATATAAGTAAATTCAGCCGCATTTTTTGTAATTAAATTAAATGATATACAAGAAACGATAGGTAAAGTTGTATATTGATTAAGATGCAAAAAATTCAATCGTTCTACACGTTTTATGATTTTCAGAAGCCATCGCATTCATTCTATTAGTTTTTAATTATAGACTTTAATAATTGTTGAGCTTAACAATAGTTATAAAGTTCAAATAGGTAGCTACTGTCTAGTGTATAATTAAAGTAATTTGAACTCTTTCGTTATTCAAACAGGTATCATAATCTGACACGTGAGCTTTTATTAATTGAAATTAGTATTTTATTATTTTAAATATTTTCATTTAAGATTTTTCTTTTCTTTCTACTCATCAATCTAAATAGAGATCTAATAAATAATTTAAATTAATGATTTAATCTAAACACCTCATTTTACTTTCAAAAACAAAGCCTTTTCAAAATGGTAATACCATTTTAGAAAATTAAGTCTAGACAAAACACGAGATAGCATTGTTTTCTCTAATTTAGACATCTTGGTTATTCAAATAATACGTTCCAAATTCAAAACAAAAATGTTTGAATGTCACAGTCATTATAGAGGAACTTCAATCTTAATGTCTTCGTGATCTGTCAGAAAAGCAGATGGCAATGCTTAGCGAGGTCATGACCTTTCGATTCTTTTGATCAACCGAAAGCTCGACAATTAGACAAGCTGAATTGGTTCTGGATTAGGCACTGTATGTATTTGTCCTTACTTCTGCCTAACTGCCTCATTGTTATTTTTCACTTATAACAAAAAAAAATGTACTACGAGGTGCCTTTATTTACCTACAGTTTTTTAAGGGGGAAAATCATCGAATGACTTCTCCCGTCTGGGTGAGACGGAAAAGAGAGTGTCAGACTCTTACTGACTTAAAATCACCCCGTTCCTACTCCTGCTCTTCGTCCCGGAGCCCCGGCAACCCTTTAAGTTCTCCGCGGCTCCGTATCGGCATCAGCCATATTGGGCCCCATACGTGGTGGTCGGATGGCTCACGCTCGGGTCTGGTTAAGGTCGGCCGGCGAGCTACCCATGCTCGACGTCCGCAGGCCCGCGCTTAGGGTCGCAGTCGCGCGACCTCTTTTAAAGATTGGATTAATACATTGATATTTCTGAAGTGTTCACTTCTCGACCTTAAGACAGGAAGATGAGCTTCCCTAAGGTATTAATACTGAATGCTAGTCGAACATCGAACATGATGATAAAAAAATTAGTGTGACTCCAATATTCGATAAATTATGTCAGAACTATGAACCCCGTACCTTGAATTTTGTATTAACTCATTCAACTGTCGTTTAAATATAATTTTAACACATAACTATATCCATCTTAAGTAAGATCTGTGTAATGGTTTTACTACAATAAAACTGTGAGAAGTTCTACTGTCTAACTAGATGAGCTTTTGAAATCCAAACGTTAAAGACCTACATATTAACCACTTCATTTTTATGTTTTATCCTTCTACAATTTCAATGAATCTGCCCTTGTCTATTCAAAAATCAATTCGAAAAACATTAACACAACTTTACAACATCTAATTTATGTTTAAACACCACAATGATGAAGCTAAACATTGCAATGAAGGTCAATGAGACATCACTTACCATTCTCGAGAAATAAACGTAAAAATTAATATGTTTCGTGAGCATGTAGAAATATTAAACTATATATAAAATGAGTAATAAATATGTATGAGCTAAATGATTTCTTCATTCGAATTCTATTATATTTTGTAGGTACGTACATTACATTGTCCAGCGCCCCGCTAATAGCGTTACATATGGATAAAAGTATTACAGTATTGTGATGTCTCGCATAAATATTCGTCACGGACTCCGATTTTGCATTCGTTTTATGTTTTATACTTATACAGAGAAAGCTTATTATATCTTCTCGTAATGACTGTGACTTATGTAATTTTTTTAGAGCTACTCTAGTCAAAATTGAATGTGTTTTCAGTTGCATTTTTCAAAATTGTTTGATTTTATTAAATTATTCGCAATCTTGAACAGAAGCTAGTCAAGTAGCGAATAAAACCAGTGTAGTAAAATAAATTTACATCTGATAAACATGTATATTGGTTACAGTAAAAAACGGATTCTGTATAACACACGCATCCATATGCATTTATTCCATCTCGTAGCGCTAAAAATGGCAACGCGCTCTGCAGATGTTAGAGTTTCAGTTTAAAAATGGCATGCATTAAAACTAAGTATACGTACTGCAAGGATTCTATCGTACAAGATAGGATACCACCAAAATATTGTAGGCAAAAATAACAAAACACACGCACCCTTTTAATAAAATTCACCGGCTTTTTGTAAGTTTATTATCACCACGCGATGTATATCGATCACAAGTCACAAGGGCGCTAGGCGGCTAGCGGATGTGTCTTCCTTTCGACGCGCGAACATCAACTGCTGGTTTGCGCGCGCGCGCGTCCGTACCTTGCCTGATAACCGATAGCTACCACGGATAAACTCCGCATGTACGACAAAATATAGCTGCTAAATGCCTTCAAACAGACACCGGTTTACATCACTTTTAATAATAAATGCATTGTTTTTTTTCGAAACAATCACCCATTCATCCCCATTGATTCATATAAAATTTATCACGGATATCGTGAAATTTAGGTATCCATAACTCGGTAAAGTTTTATTGGTATTGTGACGAAAATCTTCATTAGTTTGTGAGATGGCTTTCTACAGCTAAAAACATTTTGCAAGGGCTCGTCAGTTTAGACACACATAAAATGTTATTGACCGAAGTATAGACTATTGCATGATTTTACGTGACGAATTAATCTTTTTGCAAAACTACACATACACACATACACACACACAAAAATTAGCAGATTCGTTAGGAAAAAACCGTTAAAGTACGTAGTATTTCAGAATTCAAATTACCATTTTAATTAAATCGTACACAGACACAATACCAATTATCCTTTACTTATAAATACTCGTATAGGCAAATGAAGTTAATTTCACGCTTTAAATTGTCATGACAACCATTTCAAATGAATTTTCTGAGACTTAACCAATTTCGTGTCTCAATCAAACAGCGAACAGCGAACATCTCTCAAGTCACCACAAAATAGGATTATAATCTTTTAAACAATAATAAGATGGTCCAATGCTGTCAGATATAAGTGAATCTGAAGACTAAAGGCAGCTCAGTAAATTTCCAAGTCCCTTTTTGCTGCAACGAACCGGTCGCCTCGTAGTTATCTTGATTCACGACCAGTTTATCAAAAATAGCGCAGTTTTTGTTACTTAAGAAAAACTTTTGTTCTTCTATTTACACCCATAACTTTAGCAAATAAAAAATAAGCAATTCAAAAGCTTCTAACTGAAATTCGACATGGATAATCGAGGGATCAGGATAAGGAATTATCATAATTTTATCCAGAAAATTTCGGAATTGAAATTACTAACAACATTTTATCTAAGTTGGCAATTGAACCTAAAACCTAGTTTTAATCAGTTCACGATCATTGAATGACGAGTCAGTCAATGTGTCATACTACTGCTTTAATAACTACACTTAACAAAGTCGGTATTTCTACTCATTCTATTGTCAAGACATACGTTACTATGTATCGTATAAACAAATTAAATGCTTATAATGAAATTGAACGAAACAAATACAGTTTATTCTTAAAACAAACACCTGCTTTGCTACTCGGCATTGTTTACACATAAACGTGACTTTTTAGTATTCATCATCATCAGCCTATAAATGCCTACTGCTGGGCAAAGCCTCTTCTCACATGGAACAGGATTAAACACTAATCACCACGCTTGCTCATTGCGGGTTGACGATTTCAAATTTATAAGCCCAGGTTTTCCACCATGTTTTCCTTCACCGATTATCAGTGGTATGTAAATAATATTAGAAAGAACATATTACTCGAAAAGTCACATTGGTACTTGCTGTTACTAGGTTTCGAAGCCGCAACCTCATGCATGAAAAGCAGGCCCTTAACCGTGGTAGTGGTATATCGCGTGGTCTTAACCTCCGGCCCACCACGACATATTCATACATTCTAGTTTTATTGTTAAACAATTTTAAACTTAATCAGTTGAGGAAAAGCAATGCTTGTAGTTGTAAAGATGTAACTCATTAGATAGATATTGCATTAACTTAAGTGTTACGGCGTAAAAATAAGTTGGTCCTTATTTACGCAAATTGGTCTTTCGTTCTTAATTTTTCACACAGTATAGAGTATTTGACTGCCTCGTTGGCCGTATGGTCGCAAGTGCGACTGTCGGGCAAGGGGTCCAGGGTTCGATTCCCGGGTCGGGCAAATATTACTGGGTTTTTAAAAATCTCAGTTGTAGCACGGAGTCTGGAAATGTGCCCGGTTTATGGCAATAGACTCACCCTCTATTACATGGTACAACATAAGTAGTGAAAAGTGGGAAAACGTTGTACAGTGGCATTGAGTGCCGTAATGTGCACGTCGGCCTACCCCTTCAGGAATAAAAAGGCGTGATGTTATGTTATGTTAATAAAGAGTATTGTAAAAGATGCATAAATCATTTCAACATACAAAAATGTGCTAACTTCTGTGTCATACACAGTTGCTTACGTTAATTACATTTAATTAGGCCTACAATAAAATGTTTACAACCATTTGCGATACGTCTAGATTACCTTAAAGAAAAACAAGAGAGTTAAAAGGCCGTTAAATTTTTTTAATGATTTATGTGTGTAGCTGGCGTAGACAGATATTGCTTTAGAATAAGTAGTTCATACTGGGGATTAAATCCAATATTATTCTAAAAATGTGATCTATTCGCGAAGAATTAATTATAATATAGAATATTAGTTTAGTGTCACCTAGATTTATTCATTTGGATTCACAGATTAGACAATGGGTAAATGTCAGCATAACCCCATGTTAAGATATGAACTTTTATGACATCTAAATTTTTAAGGATATAACCCAGTCTGGTATTGTATATTTGATCTCATTGCAGTGGTCGTCCATATACATAGAAAGTTTTCGTGGCTAAGATAAAATTGTGGTAGTTTTATCTCAGCCACGAAAACTTTGATTGTTACTGTTTCTTTTCTACCGTACAATACGTGAAATTATATCACGTTAGATAACACATACACACAATGTCACATATTTTATTCCCAAAGGGATAGGCAGACGTGCACATTACGGCACTTAATGCCACTGTACAATATAAATAACACACACTATTCACTACGTATGCGTCTGATGCAATAGATGGGGTGAGCCTATTACCATATACCGGGTACAATTCTAGGCTCCGTGTTATTACTAAGATTTTTTAAAATCCTAATAATACTTTGCCCGACCTAGGAATCGAACCCGAAAACCCGTGCCCATAGTTGCACTTGCGACCACTCGGCCAACGAGGCAGTCCACGTTAAATGAATTTACTATAAAATCTCTAAACATCGTCGAACAACGCAAGCAAACCACTTATAACCATATAATTGGCATAAACTCCTCGCCAGTGTGGTCCGGTTGCACGCAGTTCATGTCGTAATACCGAATTTATTTGAACACGGAATTAGCGATGCTACCTTTCACTACTTTTGCCCTATAATGGCCTTTGACCCATCATGTGAAGCTTCATGAAGCAACCACGCACTCCTTATTCGTAAACGTTCGCAACACTATTTTATAGACGCTCCTTAACAGAAGATTGAATAGATCAAAACTATGATGCGCACAAAGTGATAACGTTTGTAAGAGGACTTTTGATGTTTGTACTGAAATGTAATACTAAAATGTAATGAGACAAGTAATTTAATTTAATTATATTTTATTGAAGATCCTTGAGTCTTTACAAAACTGGAAACATGTGATCGACGGAGATGTCGATCATTTAGTTAAATTTACATTATGCCGATAACATGAAGTAGCATAGCTGTAGTAAATGAAATGAAGACAATATTGTTATGAATGTTATGAGCAAGCAATAGTTTTACGGTCTTTCTTTTTGCAAATCATGGTTCATCTCTTAGTCCTTTGAACCCAGACGGGAACTGTCTATGCATTTGTTGTTCGAACTATTTATAACTAAAAAACAAAACCTTATAAAGTAACTTCAATGTTAAAAAACAAAATAGGCGCGACGCTTTCTTGTTTTAATAAATTCAAGTTTATTTTATAAAACTTGGTCCTTGTTTACGGAAATTGGTCCTGTACAGTGACGTCCATTTTAAATAAAAATAAGAAGATAAAATACTTGTTTATGATTTCATTGTGATATTCTATATTATTATGAATACATTATACTTGTCTACATAATTTTAAACTCATATGTATAAACATAGTAAATGGCTAAAGGTTTTACTGTACATACTGTTGAAATTTTTTTGGTGGTGTTTGTTTTGATAACCCTACTCAAAGTGTAGGTTTATTTGACCAATTTATTTAAATAGAATAGAACGTATATATAATATAACGATGTATATTATAGTTAAATTTATATAGTTTGATAATTTATACACTCGTAATTTATGTTTACAATTATGTATTAGTGTTAAAAAATCTTGGTAGTAGCACGGAGTCTGGAATTGTACCGGTATATGGCAATAGGCTCACCCCCTATTCCATGGGACTCATAACATAAATAGTGAAAAGTGGATGTAACATTATATAGTAGCATTAACGTGCCATAACGTGTACCTCTACTTACCCCTTCGGGTATAAAAAAGCATGATGCAATGTTACGTTAATTACGTATTATAGATAATCATAATCATGATCAATTACCATATTTCCGTCAATTATCCAATGAGATTATTTATTTCAAACATAACAGGAAAGAGTGGATTATTTTCATTTTTAATCACAATTGTATGTTTGTTTGTGGTTATTGTGTTCAGCATTGAGGAAATGTGATATCATTAATGTATAGATAGATGACTATAATGACTAACAATAATGAGATTGATTATCTTCTGAGATATAGCTAAAAGCATTACTAATACAAAGCTTATTTAGGATTACGTTACGTTTACCGGTATAAGGTCCAGAAGATAAAATCGTAACATTAAATGATAATTAGAAAACTACAACTGTCGGAGGTAGAGGGTAGACCGTCATATAGGTAGCGAGGCTCTGGCACGGAGTTAGAGTTGAAACGTTGCTTTTTGGTAACGGTCCTACTTCCTCAGGACGAGAGGAGCAAGTTGACGATATTCTAACAAAAAAAAAGACGCCTGCGAAAACTTTTTATAAAAATTAAGAATTCGATTTGTCATAATTTCTTCATCTTGGATTCTACAACTTTTACACCATATTAACTATTGCTTCAAATGTGTAGTTCTAACTATACGTATCCTTTTTTTTGTCATTGGCACTTTTAGAAACCTCCCATAAATGTATGTATGGAGCCGAAATGATCTCCTTTTCTTACATTTACAAATTAGCGTGTGTAACTACTGTTACCGTTATCAGAATAACTAAAGGTACTCCTT